GAGAGAGAGAGAACATGAAGTTGGGAGGAGGGTAATAGGGTATAAGGGGGATGGTATTAGAGAAGTTAGAACAGGAAGTAGGGGTGGATATAGTCAAAATACATTGTATACATGTATGAAAATTTCAAAGAATAAAGAACATTATTTAAAATTATTATAGTGGTCAAAATTCCTTTCTATTGACGTACTTAGTTCTTCCTAAATTTCAGAACTGAGAAGATGGTAGCAAATATTGAACCACAGATACTCCCTCCTGGGAAAATCTGAGCCCCAAGCTCTCCAGGAGGCCATTTTTCAGTTCACTGACACCCTCTGCTGTCCAAGACGCAGAAGCCTGAAAATAACACAAGAAAGTGACCAAGACTGGAAGCTGCCTACAAAAATGTCTATAGCATTTTACTCAGAACAGACGCAAACTAAAATGTTCCTCGGTGTCTCTCCACAGGAGAGTAGGCAAACAGTGGTAACTACACAACAGCGTAATACCTAGGGTGTTAGGACTTTCCATCACTTTGACAACATACCCGAGAAGGAGGAATTTGGACTCCTGGTCAACCTGCTCCATTGCTTTGGACTTGAGAGGTGCAGCATCATAAAGTGTGGGGGGCAAAGCTGCTCATCACAAGGGGGTGAGGAAGGAAAGGCAGAGAGGAGGTATCCAGAACAACACAACCTCTTCAAGGTCCCCGTGACCTTCTTCCTCCAATTACCCCATCCTGTTGTAGACTGGTCAGTGGATTGCTCTACTGGTGGACTTACAGCCCACTCATCAACTGGGACCCCGTCCTCAACACATGAGCCTTTGGGGATAGTTTATGTCCAAACCACAGTACCCATCAATAAATAGGAACAAACCACAAAAGCAGGCAGCAGTTTGGCATGTGCATGATCACATGCCAGCTCTTCATATCTGCTGGTTCTGCAGCCATGGATCCAGTCAACCACAGATTGCAGGGTTGGGGATTGGCTCAATGGTAGAGAGCTTGCCCAGTGGGCATAAGGCCTAGGTTCAGTCCCCAGTTTGGTGGGGGAGAATCAATCACAAACTGAAAATTTATGTTTTGTTGAAGACACAGTGTGGTGATTAATATAGTTAACTAGACAGGCTCTAGAATCACCCAGAAGACAAGTCTTTAGGTGTGCCTGTGATATAGATTAGGTTAACGGAATGAGAAGAGTCACTGTAATTGTGGTCAGTATCATTCCACAGACTGGGGTCCTGACTGATAGGGAGAAAGTGAGCTGAGCACAAATTTCCATCATTCTCTGCTTGCTGATTGTGGGCACACTGCAGTCAGCAGCCTTCATCCCCATGACGGACTTCCCTTTGAATGTGAGCCCAAACGAATCACCCCTTCCTTAAGCTGCTTTGGTCAGATTTGGTGTCAAAGCAATGAGGGAAGTAACAATACACAGGATCTTGTTTCGTCTCTCTCCCTGGCTTGGTACTTGGTATGTAGCCCAGATAGACTGCCCTCCAACTCATGACAATCCTCCTGCCTCAGACTCTTCAGTGATGGCATTCCAGGTATGTGTCACCACTCCTGGCAGATTGAAAATACTAAAAACTGGGCAGGAAAGTGTATACTGCTCAATCACCCACAACAGGTGGCTTTCTAGAGGAACCCAATGCTTCTAGCCTTTGTAGGTACCTGCATTGAGTGCACACACATACACCACACACATACACCACACACACACACACACACACACACACACACACACACACACACATGAAAAAAATAGGGGCTAAAGAGATGATTTAGCTGCTAAAAGCATTGATTGCTCTTCCAAAGGACCTAGGCAGTTCTAGCATCTACATGGCTGCTCAAAACCATCTGTAACTGCAGCCCCAGGGACTTCTTTTCTTCTGCCTCCACAGGCACCAGGCACACATGTGGTACACAGACCTACATGCAGGCAAAGTACCCACATACATGAAATAAAACAAAACTAAAAACTAAATCTTTCAGAAATCGTATTTGTCTATTTTTTCAGTGCTGGGATTGAAGCCAAGGCCTCACACATGCTAGGAAGTTCTGGAGCACTGACCTACATCCTCAGTGTTTTACTTTATTTTCCTTTTGCTGTAATAAAATACCCTGATAAAAGCCACTGAAGGAAAAAATCATGATTGGAGGGAATGGAGGGATGGAGAGGTGGATAAATGGATGGGTTGAGGGATAAAGGGTATGGAGAGGTGAAGGGATAGAGAGGATGAGGGATGGAGGGATGGGAGACAAGGGAATGGAGAAATGGAAAGATGAAGGGGATATAGGGATGGGCGATAAAGGGAATGGAGGAATGGAGGGGATGGACAGATGGGGTGATAGAGGGGATGGAGGGGTGAAGGGGATGGAGACATGGAGAGATGGAGGGATGAGTGACAGATAAACAGCAAAAGAAGCTGCTCGTAAGTGCATTAAGTTTCTTAGCAAATGTAGGCAGTGAGTGGATTAGGTTGGAGAGAGACACACTGGAAGCCAGAGGACCAGAAATACTCCCAGGAGAAAATGACTGCTGGGGTGTCTCAGCAACAGAGCACTTGCTCTGCAAATCAAAAACGAAACCTTAGAGCAGGATGAGCCTCGCATCCAGGACTTCAGTTAGCCACCCAGGATAGCGCTGTCAGAACCTGGAGCCTCAGCACAGCCATCCGGTTCATAGATTCACAAGCACACCAATCAGCTTTATTGAGCTTGGCTTTTGACAGCTAGAGGTTGTGTGCCTCAGTTTCCACATCTGCTCTTGACTGTGGGTGTGACCAGCTGCTCACATTCCTGCCTTGATGTCCTGATAACGATGAATTGTAACTTGAAATTATAAACTAAAGAAACCCTTTCTCCCTCACATTTGTTTTTATCAGGGTATTTGATCCGGAAATTAAAATGAAACTTGGACACACAAATCTCGGTTAACCCAGGCTGGCCTGAAGCTCTATACATAGCCTTCACCTCCCCAGTGCTAGGAGGACAGCCATGCACCACCACACCGATCCATGCTCAGGGCTTGTATGTTAGGCGAGCACTCCACCGACTGACTTGCATCCCAGCCCTCCTCCACTGCTTCTTATCCCACTCTTCGTATCCAATCGTGGTTGCGCCACCTAGTGCGTTGTTTTAGGTTGTCCTTAATAAGATCTAATGCTATATATCTTCAACTTTATACATTATGTTTACCGGTATACTGAACATATTTACTGTTCATGCCATTCTTTTGTGTGTTTGTTTTTTGTCTTTTTGTTTTCGAGACAGGTTTTCTCTGTGTAGCCCTGACTGATCGGGAACTCACTCTTTAGACCACACTGGACTCTTAACTCTGAGATCTGCCTGCCTCTGCTGGGATTAAAGGGGTGGCCACCACACCCACCACCACCTGGCTGTTCCAGTTATTCTTTGTGGGGCGTTTTTGGTGTTGTTTTGCTTTTGTTTGTTTTTATTTTGGTTAGTAAGGTTTTGCTGTTGTTGTCTCTTTTTGAGGGAAAGTTGACAGTCTCCCCCCATTTCCAGCTTTCTGTGTGTGGTTGAGATGTGGCGGCCATGCCTGCCTGTTGCCATGCTTTCCCTGACATGATGGACTCTGAAACGGTAAGCCAAGATCAATCTTCCTTAAGTTGATTTTTTGTAATGGTATTCTATCACCTCAACAGAAAAGTGACTGATACAAGGCCCCATGCCATTTGAACAATTTTGCACACATACAACCTAGAAAAGTACCATCTGTGCTTCATATCTATGCTGTGTGAATCTGAGTGGTACTTCAGAGAGTAGATTTGCCACGAGTTGATGCTTGGTGGTTACACAGATAATACATGTGGTGAGCTCTGACCTTTAAAGTGCCAGTCACATGACTCATATCACCCTTGTCCTTGGCTCAACATTTTTACTCTCCGCAGAGGCTGGGAGCCCCTGCAAGGTTGTGTAATTCTTTTGATATTGTTGTGTGTTTTGACACTAGCACACATTTTGCATTCAATAACTTTTTAGACTGCATACGATAGCATATGCCCATAATCCTAGCATTCAGGAGGCTTAAACAGTAGAATTTAGGTCATCCTAAGCTACATAGAGAGACTCTATCTCCAAAACATAAAAAAATTTAACAACAAAAAAACTCAAACCCACACAGATTTTCATCTTCTCCCCTACACATTGGGTTGGTAGAAGCTGCCAATGAGGCCATCTGTGCTTAGAATTTTATTTGGGGAAAGATTTTTTTAATCCATTGATTCAGTATCTCTAAAAATCTTTTTTAAAGCTAATTTTGTTATGTTTCCAGAGTTTTTCCATTTTATCTTTAATTTTTGAATTTATTGGCACAGAATTTACAAAACCTCTCATTTTAAAATATCTGACACATTTTAGTAAATTTATCTGAGATTTGTGAATTGAATGATATTTGTATGTATGTATTACGTGCATGCATTTGGGCATTCACTTGCCCATGTGTCTGGTGTGCCCACTCATGTGTATGGCTGCATGTAGAGGTCAGAGGTCCAAAACGGATGTCTTCCTTTATTGCTTAGTTTTTTGAGACAGGGTCTCTCACTGAACCTGGAGCTTGTTGTTTTTGCTTAGCTAAATAGCCAGGGAGCCTATGTGTACCCTCAAGCCCCACGTTACAGATTTATGTGGGTGTCAGGGTTTGAGCTCAGGTCTTCACTCTTAAACAACAAGCTCTTCTTCACCTTCCAAGCCCTTTATGGGTTTTTAAAGATCTGATGATTTCTTTGTTACTATTAAAGATTCTTATTTTTGCCTGGACTTAGAAGCAGAAGCTCTCGGCGAGGACAGCCTCTGTCTGTCTTTTGTCCATCTGTTCCTGGCATTTTTCTTTGGCTTCCTTCATTCTCTTGGCCAAAATTTTAGCACATTACACAGACTCCACCTTATTTTTCTTAGTGAGTTGTCTTGTCAGAGAAATACATTGGCATTTGTGTTTCAGGGCATGTGGAGTAACAGAACACTGAGCCTTGGGTGCTTTGGTCCTGGGCTTCTTACCTTCTTACCTTCTTGAAGGGCTTTCTGACAACGTATCGGCAGACATCAACTTTAGAGAGATTGAAAACCTTTCAGATTCTGCTAGCTTCTTCTAGCCCCAGCTGCCAAGGCACCATAGTTATCTGTCAGTCCAGGAGTTCTTCTTCTTCTTCTTCTTCTTCTTCTTCTTCTTCTTCTTCTTCTTCTTCTTCTTCTTCTTCTTCTTCTTCTTCTTCCTTTTACAATAACCACATTGAGAACATTCAGATTAGCATCCACAATGAATAACCAGACTTGCACTTCCTCTGTAGTTTTTCTTGGTCTACAACACAAGAATGCCCCTTACTCAACAGCAGGCACACTCTGCCATGAGTCATGAGCCTTGCTTCCTGGGAAAACCTTGTTGGTGGTTCCCACCACTGATTGGGACTATATAACCCTTCCACTCTTCACCCAGAGCATCAGCAACTACTTCTGTGGCCATGTGCTTCTCAGAAAGTGTAAAGTTTTCATTCTTCCTCTGCTTGGGTGAGTTTCTGACAGCCAGTGGCTGGGAAGGATATATTCAGCTTCATGGACTGCCACGAAAATAGAGCCTCCATGGGTATTTTTAGAGTAGACTACTGGCTCAGTTTGTTTTTCTATTGTCCTTTCTCTCCTATCTCATGAATTTTGTCTTATAGTTATTAACTCCTCCTCCTCTCATTTCATTTGAGTTTGATTTGTTATTTTTCTAAGTTCCTAAAATAGATAGAAAAAAATCCTTGGGTGTACCAACAGCCCTGCCCCCAAAGCCATCTTGCTATTCTACTAGCTAACAAAATAGATTGGAGAAGGTCAGCTGTGGTGGTACTCACTTTTAATCCCAGAACTTGGGAAGCAGAGGCAGGTGGACCTCTGTAGTTGAAGGCCAGCCTGGTCTACATAGTAACTTCCAGGACAGACCAAGCTATGTAGAGACCTTATCTCAAGCCAGGCAGTGGTGGCATATACCTTAATCCCAGCATGCAGGAGGCAGAGGCAGGTGGATCTCTGTGAGTTTGAGGCCAGTGTGGTCTACACAGTAAGTTCCAGGACAGCAGGGCTACAGAGAAACCCTGTCTTGAGAAAAAATAAAATAAAATAAATTAGGGACCTTGTCTCAATGTGTGTGTGTGTGTGTGTGTGTGTGTGTGTGTGTGTGTGTGTTCCCACTAGCACACACTCATTGTAGGTGGTACTGTGCTATGTAAGAACATTTTCATGTAGACGTACAATGCTCCTTAAGCACACTCTCCAGAGCTCTCCGCTCCCCTTTCTCACCTCTCAGGGGCCCTCCTATTAATCCCCTCTGTTCTCCTAGACTTCTTTCTGCTTCCTGTACATATTTTATATATCTTATATAAAATCAGGTGTGTGGCTGGGGAGAGGGGAGGGTGAGTGGAGGGATGGCTCAGAGGTTAGGAGTGCTCGCTGCTTTTTTCAGAGATACAGAGCTCAGTTCCCAGCACCCAGATTAGGCAGCTCACAGTCACCTTGAACTCCACCTCCAGGGTGTCTGGTGCCCTCTTCTGGTCTCCTTAGGCACTGCATGCACACGCACAAACCCACCTACATGCACAAACTCACACTCAGATACACACAAATAAAAATAAGTCTTTAAAAATCTAGGAACCACATAGGAAAGAAGACATTTGATATTTCTGGATTAACCTATTCTTTCTGGAGTAACCTAATTCACTTAATATGATTGTCTCCACTCACATCTATTTGCCTGTAAATGATATAATTCCACTCTTGGGTTTTTTGTTTGTTTATTTGGTTGTTTTTTTGTTGTTGCTGTTGTTGTTTTGGTTTTGGCTTTGGTTTTTTGAGACAGAGTTTCTCTGTGTAGTCTTGGCTGTCTTGGAACTCCTCTGCCTCCTGAGTGCTAGGATTAAAAGTGTGTGCCACCACTGAAACATTTGGTTTCTTTTTTTAAAATTAATTTTTTTTTTTTTTTTTGGTTTTTCGAGACAGGGTTTCTCTGTGTAGCATTGCGCCTTTCCTGGAACTCACTTGGTAGCCCAGGCTGACCTCAAACTCACAGAGATCCATCTGGCTCTGCCTCCGGAGTGCTGGGATTAAAGGCATGCGCCACGACCACCCGGCTAAAATTAATTTTTTAAAAATTTATTTTACATACCAATCAATTTCCCCTCCCTTCTCTCCTCCCGTTCCCTCCCCCCACCTCCTTTCCACCACCACCCCCATCCACTACTCAGAAAGTGTAAGGTTTCCCATGAGAATCAACAAAGCATGGCATATCAAGTTGAGGCAGGACCAAGCTTCTCCTCCCTGCATCAAGGGTGAGCAAGGCATCCTATCATAGGGAATAGGTTCTAAAGAGCCAGCTCAAGCACTAGCGACAGATCCTGATTGCACTTCTAGGGGCCCCCAAACAGACCAAGCTACACAACTGTCATCCACTTACTGGGGGCCTAGTTTGGCACCATGCAGGTTCCTTGTCCATCAGTCTAAAGTCCATGAGCTCTCCCGATCTCAGGTCATCTGTCTCTCTGGGTTTCCTCATCATGATCTTGACTCCCCAATTTATATAATCCCTCCTTCCTCTCTTCAGCTGGACTCCAGGAGCTCAGTCCAGTGCTTGGCTGTGGGTCTCTGCATCTGCCTCCACCAGATACTGGATGAAGCTTCTATGATGACAGTTAGGGTAATCACCAATCTGATTACAGGAGAAGGCCAGTTCAGGTACCCTCTCCACTATTGCCAGGAGTCTTAGCTGGGGTCATCCTTGCAGTTTCCAGGAGTTTCCCTGGCACCAGATTTCTCCCTAACCCCACAATGGCCCTCTCTATCCAGATATCTCTTTCGTTGCTCTTCCTCTAATATTTGATTTCTTTCTTTCTTTTCTCATTTGTTTTTTGTTTTTTCAAGACAGGGTTTCTCTGTGAAAAAGTCCTTGCCACTATCCTGGAACTCACTCTGTAGACCAGGCTGGCCTTGAACTCCCGAGTGCTGGGATTAAAGGCGTGTGCCACCACCGCCTGGTTACATTTGATTTCTTAATCACTGTCATTCTTATAGGGTCTCAAGTAGGTTGGACTAGTTTAAAATCAGTATGTCATCAAGGATGGCCTAATCTCTGCTCCTTCTTTCTCCATCCATGATGTGCTGGGATTACAGGCATGTGTCACCACTCCTGGCTAGGCATCTGAATTTTAAATGTGTACACTTGTAATAGCAACTCTGCCCTTGGCTGTGTAAGCCCTTTTCTTGCCTTTAGATACTTTGACCTGCTGTAGTCTGTAGATGTAACCAACCGTCTTATTAAATAAGAAACACAGAGCCGATTCAGAGAAGAAAGCCAAGAGGTCAGAGTTAAGAGCCTTACCCTTCCTGCTTCAGCCAAGAGAGCTCTCCGAAAGGGAGCTACTTCCTGTGTGTTTGTCTTTATAGTCTTTCTGTTCTGCCTTCTCATTGGTTGTAAACCCAAACACATGACTGCCTCATCACTGCCTGTATGTACAGCCCTCCAGGTCCTCTATGGTATTGAGATTAAAGGTGTGTGTCTCCAATGTTGGCTGTATCCTTGAACACACAGAGATCTACCTAGCTCTGTCTACCAAGTGCTGGGATTAAAGGCGTGCGCCACCACCGCCACACTCTTGCTATGGCTCTAATAGCTCTGACCCCCAGGCAACTTTATTTATTAACATACAATTAAAATCACATTTCAGTACAAGTAAAATACCGCCCATAGTAGTCATTTAGGGCTGTGGAGTACCAAGGGTGGCTTTTACAGTATCTCACCTCTATAACTACAGCTCTCATCATGGCATCTTTAAAAGCATTTTCTAACACATCATGTTTATTCTTTGACCAAAATGTGTTATTCAAAGTGTATTTTTTATTTCCAAGCATATGGCTACACTCTGGCTATCTTGTTACTGATTTCTAGCTTAATTGCATTATGGTCAGACAATATGCTCTATGTGATTTTAATTCTTTCAGTTTTTTAAAAAACTTGTTTAGAATATGGGTGGTATTCAGAATTTCTGCTTGTGTTTAAAAACATTATGTCACTGACAGCAGCTTTCTAGATGAGTCTATCAGGTCAGGTTTGTTAATGCTAATCAGAATTTATGTGTGGTTAGACTTCACTTATTTGTTCATCTGGGTTTTTTTTCATTTTTATTTTATTCTGTATGCATAGGTATTTTGTCTGCACATATATGTGTGCACCATGTGTGTGCTTGGTGGCTGAGGAGGCCAGAAGAGGGCTTTGGATCCCCTAGGACTGGAGTTATAGGTAGCTGTGAGCCACCATGTGAGTACTAGAAATGAAGGTCCTTTGAAAGAGCAGCCAGTGCTCTTAACCATAAAGCCACCTCTCTAGCCCCCTTATAACTTTTTTTTAAAATATAAGATCTCACTATTCTGCCCAGGGTGCTCTGGAATTCTTGAGCTCAAGTGATTCTCCTGCCTCAGCCTCCTAAGTGCCACTATGCCCAACTACTAATAATTACTGAAACAGGGGCATTAATTTCTCTCATGATCATTATAGAGTTTTGCATTTTTCTTAATACTCTGTCAAATTTTGTTCTCTATGTTTTCAGTTATATCATCATGTACATATACACTGAAAATTCGTATGACTTCCTAATGAGTTGAATTCTTTGTACTGAGTGGTCATCTTTATTTCTGGAAATGCATGTTGACTTCAGTCTATTTTGTTAGATGGTAAGATAGATACACCTGCCTTAGGGCAGGGTTGTTGGGGGTTTATCCACAGTTTGTTTTCTCTGTTTCATTCACATTTACTTTCAAGATGCTTTTTTAGCGGTGTGGAGCGTGCTGGAGAGATGGCTCAGCAGTTAAGAACACTGACTACTCTTCTGGAGAATCCCAGTTTGATTTCGAGCAGCTACATGGGCAGCTAACAACCATCTGTAACTTCTGTTCAAGGGAATCTGATACCCTGTTCTGGTAGCCCAGGCATAGCACACATGTGGTACACAGACATACATGCAAAACACTTATACATATAAAATAAAAAAATAAACCTAAAAATTAAAAATATTAGAATGTAGGGCTGGAGAGAGAGAGTTCATTAGTTAAGAGTGTTTGCTGCTCTTGCAGAGGACCTAATTCAATTCCAGTGCCCATGTTGAGCAATTCGCAACTGCCTGCAACTCCAGCTCCAGGGGATCTGATGCCCTCTTCTGACCTCTGTGGGTACTGCACAGACGTGGCATACATTTATACAGATTCACACATATCCACAAATAAAAATAATAAAATAGATCTTAAAAAATAAATTTTAGGCCAGGTGGTAGTGGTGCAAGCCTTTAATTTCAGCACTTGGGAGGCAGAGGCCAGTCTGGTCTACAGAGTGAGTTCCAGGAAAGCCAGGGCTACACAGACAAACCCTGTCTAAAAACAAAACAACACACACACACACACACACACACACACACACACACACACACACACACACTGAATAAATAAATACTTTTTAGAATGTGCCTTTATTCCTGAGTATACTTTTTCTATTCTTTGCGTGTTTGTTTGTTTTTTTTCAAGACAGGCTTTCTCTGTGTAGAACCTGGCTATCCTGGAACTTGCTCTGTAGACCTGGCTGGCCTTGAACTCGCAGAGATCCACTTGCCTTTGCCTCCTGAGTGTTGAGATTGAAGGAGTCACCACACCCAGCTAAAAAAAGTCTTTTGCTTCACTTCCTTTCCTGAAGGGGATATTTTCTAGATACAGATTTCTGACAGTTCTCCCCGATTCCTACATTTTCTTCTTCCACGTAACTCAGGATGCCCTTGAAGTCACAGCAATTCTCCAGCCTTAGTCTCCCAAGTGCTGAATTGTAGGCATCTGGCCCAAGAATTCTTTTTCTTTTTAAAATACACAACCCTTCACAGGTTTCATGTTTTCCTTGTACAGGGACCATGCTAATCATGTGTCATCCCAATTTTGGTAGCAATACAAGTGCTGCCATGGTGAACACTGAGACTTCCTGTATTTTGGAATTCTAAGATTATGTCCCTCCTGTCTTCCATGTGTTCTGCTTAATGAGTTGTTGGTTTCCTAAGCATGCTCATTGTTTTCTATCTAGATGCTTTCAAAAAGAAAAGAGAGAAGGAGGAAGGATGGGAGGGAGGGAAGGAAGGAATTTGGAGTAGTTGGGCATGGTGATTCATGCTTGTAATCCTAACACTGAGGAGATGGAGGTGGGAGGAGTGTGAGTTTAGGGCCAGCCTGGGCTACATGAGACCGTGTCTCATGAATGAATAAATAAAACAATAAGCAAATAAGATGCAGGTAAGTTCTTCATGAATGAACTGCCTTGTCCTTGGTGTGTCCTCTAAGGACTGGACTGCTCTTGCTTTGCACCCAGGATTGGGTATTTTTCTCTCTGCTCTGAAAGCAAACAGTGTTCCCTTTTTGCAGCTACCCTAGAATCAGGCAGTGAAAGTTCCTTTTTCACCACCCATCACAGTGTAACAGAACCTGCGCTCATTGTGGGAGGCAGTGTTGTGTTGGGATCTGATGGCCACAGGGTTTGAACACCCTGTCTCCAGCAGGTGGTGATGCTTTAGGCGCTTGTGGAACCTTTGGACATGGAGTCTCACAGGAAGATGGAAACTTCTGGTGGTCCTGCAGGTAATAGTCACCTCTGGTTCTGGCCAGAACTTGGTTTTCTAATCCTCCAAGATATAAAAATCCATTCCTGAAGTTTCTCCCTCTACAAAAAAGAGCCTCTTCAGCCACCATACTTTCCCCACCAGATGGACTGTCTCCCTCTGAACTGGGAGCCAAAGTCACCCTCTCCTCCCTTAAATGGCTCTGCCAGGTATTCTGTGATAGCAACCAGATGTAACTAATACAGCGTGTCTTCATGGCCTTGATTTCACAGCTTGCCAACTCT